TTAGAGTCCATATCTGAGATACAACTCGTAGAGAAATAATATTTTGTCAGCAGATGCATCTTTTATAGTCAGGAGGGTCCTAAAAAATAAGTCATCTTGACATAAAATTCATTGATGAGAAAATGAGATGAAAGGCTGCGTTAAAGTCCATATCTAAGATGAGGAATACAAATATTTTGTCAGTAGATGCAACTTTGATAGTCACGAGTTCCAAAATCAAGACTTGAAAATTAATTAAATGATATTTCATTTCATCAACTGCACTTAAATGATATTCGAATTCATCAAGTGCACAATTTAGTAATATTTTATAGCATTATCATAACTAATTGGATTGGAACAGTTCTGGCAATTGAGGATTCAAGTCAACTCAATATACAGATTGTTTATATAAGCATTTTGCACTCTTTTACACCAAAAACCTCCTTACTTCCGGCCCAAACATTTGGTGCGTGCACCAATTTACAATCTTGTTGAAATTTAAGTCAGATTGATGAAAGGTAATATTCTACATGTCATGCATGAACTAGATCTAAAATGCTTAGATCAATTTAATACATTTTACACTTTTGTTTGTATTGGTGAATCTAGACTCGCTTTGGAATTGTAAATTTTATTGTAAGTCGTTCTAGAGCTGTGAGACTTTTACACTCATTTTTTTACGCAATATTTATTTTTATAAGGATACATTCATGCATGTTTTTGCTATACAGCCATTTACTAACTTGTTATTAGATGCTTCCAAAATAATAATATGTAATTCTCACGACAACTCTAATGCACAATTCGAGGATATTATGTGCTTTTTGAGAAGCTGTTGTTTTTTTAGTTATATTTGGCTTTATAACATGAAATACAATGAAGATCATTAGCAGTAATATGTATTTTAAGTGTTTGTGTATATGTATATATAGTCCGATGATCACTCAGAAACTTGGTCTTCTTTGCCCCTCCGCTTATTTATCCATATCGATTGAACTCGATATCATATAAGCATGCTAAAACAGTAAAAGCAAAATTATTCATTGATCGGTTATCGGATCGGATCTCGAATACCCATATTGTAATTTTGTTGGTATTTAATATCTTCTCCTATCCGTAACATGATCCCAATTCTATATCTCATTCTAGCCAATAGAACCTTTCTTACTTCATCATGTAACCAAAGAGAACCGATACTTGTTACGTAATAATTTCAAGATGGCGTGAATATTGTATGAAACTAATAGCTTCGCACCATGATGCGAAGCAAAAAGGGAAATTTTAGTAATCATTTATTTATCTTGTATACGCCCAATTTTAGAATATGGTAAAATTGTCTGGGACAATATCCCTGGCTATTTAGAACATCGTTTGCAACTAGAAGCAATAAGAATCGTACAATGATAACATAAAGACAGTTGCTATAAGAAGAAACGGGTTGGGAAACTCTCCAGTCTCGACGTAATACACATAAATTGATAAAATGTCACCATGATTGTCCTGATTATCTTTCTGCATTAGTTTCAAATCAGAGGCTAGATCTACAGGACTAAGGGGTCTTCAAATTTACAAACTATTTTTCCACAAGTCTTTTTTACCTGCATTTATGAACCTTTGTAATAATATTTCGACATTCGTTTTAATCAATCAAAATCTGGATTTAAGACGCCTCTTTTCCAAGATATTAATAAAAATCCCTTGTTTTTTCATTCCCCAAGGGTGACTGGGGAATAGAAGTATGGTCACCATTGGTCTTCCTCCGACCAGCAGTAAAACCCTTGCTAAAGTGGGGCGTCTGTTTGGCTGTGCGGGATGTACAAATTTGCAGCCACGTCCGGTCAGAATGGGGACGTTAAATCCGATGCCTCGTGTAAAGAGAGTGCCACGCTCTTTGCACGTTAAGAACCCTTGCAACAACTCTTTGAGGGGTCCGTAGGTGACCTGTTGCAAGGCTAAATTTCTGACCCTATCCAATATACCCTCATTTCCCGTGGCAGTCTAAATTTCTCCGACCTTTATCCCTAACGCCTCTATTACAGAACCTACCTATTGTATGTATTGTTAATTTGTTCTCGTCCTGAATATGCATGAAATATTTGCCACTGGACGTTAAGCAACCAACAATCAATCAATCAATCTTGTTTTTTCATCTAGTCTCTAGAAGAGAACAAGTATATTTTGCAAGACTCAGACTCCAGAGTAGTGTTTTAAGGGACCATCTTAAATATCAAAAACAAATCTTATCGAAAGCGCACTGTGTTCCTGTGGTCACATAGAAACTACCTTAAAATGTCAAAAATATAATGAATCTCGAAGGGTCACTTTTGGGACAATTCTTGTAAATTATATGGGGACAATTTAAAGTCTGGTGAGGACAGTAAGCTAATATTTCATAAAGTTTCTGTATATATAGATAAAGCAAAACTGTATATGTATTTATTAGCTTTCTACATTGACCCAAAATCGAATGGACCGCCGGCAAATCAACTATAATCGGGCATGTGTGGTGGATCCAGTGACTGTCTCTCGGAAAAAATAGTTCGTTGTTTTTTGGGGGTATTTATTGTAATTTATATATTTTAACCTTAACCGTATATACTGTCGGCACGTAATATTGTTTGCTATACAATTGTATTTTTTTCGGGAGACGGATTTTTAAAAGTTAATTTTCCAAACTTGCTTCCGAATCCCATATTTGACTGCTATGTAAAATTGTATCATTATATTGATATAATTTTCAATAATAAATACTGTTTAAACTAAGTAAAAAGTAAAATAACAAAAATACCGAACTCCAAGGAAAATTCAAAACGGAAAGTCCCTTATCAAAATCAAAAGCTCAACACATCAAACGAACGGGAAACAACTGTCATATTACTGACTTGGTACAGGCATTTCCTTATGTAGGAAATGGTGGATTAAACCTGGTTTTATAGCTAGCTAAACCTCTCACTTGTATGACAGTCATATGGAATTCCATTATATTGACAACAATGTGTGAGCAAAACAAACAGACATAATAGGTAAAAATGTCAAAAACTGTGGTACAGCAGTCCACATTGTGTTATAATCTTAATCACTATAAAAACAAATAACTATTTCACCAAAGAAAAACAAAATGGCATATAGACAAAGTACATAAGCAAAAATGAAAGACAAGATTACAAAAATGACAATAATACATGTATAATAACACAATGGCGGGATGTATAAATACCTAGCCACGCCAAAAGTATATACCAAAAATGGACTTAACAGTAAAGGTTAAAAACATACAAAGACAAATAAAAAGAACACTATAACATGTAATTAAGATGATAAACTACGTCAGTACCTAGAATCTATACTTCAAGACCATCCTGTATTATTTGTGAAGTTGATACGGAATATTTATCAACAAGGTCTTGGTATCTTCCGATAAACTTTTTTTTAGAAAAAGGACGAGACGTTCTTTGACATAACCCTAGTTCTTCAACTTACTGCACGGACACTGGTGACGTTTTATAAAGTCTGAGTAGCAGCTGCAAGCTCTTGAATACCGAATGAGTTGGAAAATGTATATCCTATATGCATGTGAAGTTAGTGTATTGCTGCTAAGGTGGGGGAATTTATAATTTCAAAATTAAAATCATCTCGTTTGTCATATTCTGGTAGTGAGATGACCACTTATGTCAAATTCGAGGAATAAGTTAAAAAAAATGAGGCCGATGAAGCCGTGTCTGTTGTTTCTTGAATTTCTAGTTCTGGAGGATATATTAATGGAACCCAATCAGAAAAGTTTGGATTGTTAAGGGAAAGAACATCATCAATATAGCTGAATGTGAAATTAAATGATCTGGCTTCTTTGATCTTCTTGTATTTGATAAGCGTCTGAAGGAACTCCGACTCATATGAAAATAAGAAGAGGTCGGCAAGGAGAGATGCACAGTTCGTTCCCATAGGACTGCCGACAATTTGTTGAAAAAGTCTACCTCCAAATTCAACAAATACGAAACTCCAGCATATAGATCACTTGTTCCTCTGTGTAACATGTTTAACCTTTTTGTTCACTATTAACAAAATATGCCGTATGGTATCCCAAAGCAATAAATTTATAGCGTATGCTACCATTTTTATATAAAAGCATTGTGAATTATTTCTTTTAGTAAATGATCCGATAAGGATAGACACAGTGCATCCGGTAGGAATGGCATTGGGACAACGGATCTGATGTCCCGTGTAGGGAAAGTGCGACGCTCTCTGTACGTTAAAGAACCCTTGCAACATCTTTTTAGTGGTTCGCTTGTGGCCTGTGGATAGGAAAAATTTCTGCCCCAATCCAATATCCCACCATTTCCAAGTTGACATTGAATATATTTAGAGGTAATTTCAGCTACGGAGCTTTAACGAAGAATAATTATGGTTTTTGAACATGCAGAGAGGGTAGAGAGTGTGTATTTACTAAGCTTAGCATGTCTGTATTTACTAAGCTTCCATGTCAAATGGATAACGATTATGTCTTCACGAAAAGTGAAGGTATTCATTATTCTTAAGAAGACAAATAAAAATCCAGGCCAGTTTTCGCTTGTCAACAAACGAAAATAAAAGAAAGACAAAAATAAATATTTCGTAATATAAAACTAAAGATCAAATTTAAATAAATCATTAATTCTTTTATCTAAATCAATCCATACAATTACAAGGACATTTTATTGGCTCCATTGAAGCAAATCTTTCAAAATAATCTAACCCTTTATGAACTGTTTATGTGTATAAGTGTCAATGACTATACCAGTATTACTTTTTTTATTTTGAATATCAGCTTATACTTAACCCCACTTTAAACGATTACGCTAAAAGTAAACTATTTAAATTGTAATTATGTTTATAAATATTAAGCATTTTACCTCTCACAGTGTGATTTTATTCTTATTACAGTTGAAACAGTTGAATTTTATCTGAAATCGTAACTAATTAGCTAAGTCGCACGTAATAGTAACACTAACAATATAGCATTATTTGCACTCGACTCGGGTATTGTACAAGCAATGGCCCGAGACTGCCATTTGTGTATATAGGATTTTAACCGTTCGTTCTTCAATTCAAACATATTATTTAAATATTCAGCTCTTTCACACATTCAAATATATAAACAAAACACCGACTGATATGAGATTGAGGAACACGATGAATTCTGGATATAACGATTCATGCATTTATGCTTACCATAGAAACGGCGCCATTGTTCGCTAAAGTGTTAAATTTCACTCTTCATAAGAATAAAGCAAACATTTGATTTTTGAAGATATGCAGTGGATTTAATTATATAATTAAATATATGCCGAACATAAATTAAACCGTGGGAAATATATAGGTATACAGCAGTAAGCATGAGCGGGGTAGTGAGAGACCTTTACCGTTACCATCACTGGCCAGACAGAAAAGATTACTGGACTCGTTCAGTGAGGAACGATGCTTTCCAAATGTCTCCCAGAAGAGGTGGTGATGAAGAACTACATGGAATATTTGGACGGACAGGGGAATATGTTGGATATGACAATAAGATTAATTACAAAAATAGGGAGCTTATACGATACCATCACTGGCCTATCAGACGAAATTGGCAAAACAGATTTGAAAGCAAGGTATATAGATATAGTATTAATGTTATTTGTTTTTTGCATTGGAACGTGCTGCTATTTTAAAAGTTAAAAATTATGGTCGGATAAAGGTACATTGTCGAGATATTGCCATCCCTCGTTGAACTTAACATTTAATGAAAGAAAAAAATGTTCTGAAGGTTATTTATGTATTGAAAGACGTGTAGAATATCTTGTATGGCTAGCTAAGACTTGAAATTGGAAGTCTTATAACTGCTTAGATTTAGAGGTTATAATTGGAGAGAGAAAATAGTAGTTTCCAAATTAACGTTCCAAGTGAAACCATCTTATTTGCTGTCAACGTAAATGAATTTATAAATATAGTTCACACAATTATATATTGCTTTGTTAGCAAAGTTCCATTTTAAAGTTTTGGATGAATGACAATCATCAAAATTCTTAAAATGTTATAAAAATATTGATTATGTCTTTAACTTCCATAATATCTTAGTTGTTATTATTTTACATACAGGATTAATATTTTTTTAAATATTGTTACTTTCAAGCTTTATATGTTAATAGACTTGACATCTGAATCGCATAGTTAAAATAGTAATCGCTTTCAGTTTACTAAATGTGCACGTATAAACGAGATGTTCGTTTGGACGAGACATAAAATGGTACAATTAGTACTGTCCTATATACATTGTATCGCTTAATTTTGGCCCATTTGAAATATATTGATCTACATTGAAATTACCCTTACAAGTGACAAAATAAATATTGAATAGGTGGATACTTTACACTTGTTTAAATATTATTCAATTTATTTGGTATATTTAAAAGACATTTATCCTATATCATACGGGAATTGCAAATACTAAAGTTTAAATAAACACAATTGATAAATCATCAATTTCATGTATAGTCTGAAACGTTGAATAGAGAAAGATTTGTTATGTGCCAAAATATAAAGCGAAGCAGACATAGTTTACCTTTGAACCAAATTGCTGATCCTACTCGACTGCAACCACCATAGAATACTAATCTTATATTTAACATATAAAATTGTCTGTGCCCTTAGATTGTAATAACATTTTAATTGGTCGTCAATTTGTTTGAATAAAATAAAAAATAAACTTAACGTCCAGTGACAATTACCTACTTGCATTTTCAGTATGCAATTATTCAACAAAAAACTAAAATAACGGGTGAATTTGTAAAATCTTCTTCACTAATTGGGCATGTTGATTGCCCCTTTGATATGATTCCCCCTTTTTAGTAAAAGAATTTTTGTCTTACAACAGGTCACGTATGAACATTACATGATCAATTGCTTTTGGACTCTGGAGTCGTTTTCACAAAAAAACTTACGACTAAGATTGATCGTACTAAGTATACTGAATTGTTCATGACTTACGATCAATCTTAGTCGTAAGTTTTTTTGTGAAAACGACTCCTGTAACGCACAAAAAGATCGGAACTTTTAAATATGAAGCACTGGTTTTGACATCGCCATTTAATCCTGGCTTCGTATCTTACATCTCACGCTCCTTAGCAAAAGTCTTTTTGTCAAATGGGGAAAGTTTACGACGTCCATGCACTACATTAAGTAGTTGAATTTCTGTTCCAATAATAACCAAGGTGTTATCAATCTTAAAATTCGAATAGGATAACAAGGAATTGTGCGAAGAACACAATTTAGTACGTCTACACGGTTATTTTCTCTATGTCGTACTTTCTGGCATTTTTTAGGGCCGCATAGAAATAATCTGAGTCAGACTCGGAGGTTTGAGATATGTGTAACCCCAAAAGGGTTGACTTGGTATAGAAATATGGTATCCAAACTGATAGTTAAACTCATGCTGTGGTGGCGTCCGTTTGGCTTCATGGGATGTATAAATATGTAGCTACGTCCGGTCGAAATGGAGACGTTTAAAGCACTTCTGTTTTGACATGAATTATCATTGATATGGTCATAACTATAAATTAACTGTTTACAAAACTTTGAATTTTTGAAACACTAAGGCTTTTCTACCTCAGGAATAGATTACCTTAGCTGTATTTGGCAAAACTTTTAGGAATTTTTGGTCCTCAATGCTCTTCTACTTCGTACTTTATTTGGCCTTTTTAACTTTTTTTTATTTGAGCGTCACTGATGATTCTTTTGTAGACGCAACGCGCGTCTGGCGCAAATACAAAATTTCAATCCTGGTATCTATGATGAGTTTATTTAATTCGGAACCTCATGTAGGGAGAAAGCCATGATCGCGTACGTTTAAATATAACTTGCAACATTTTTTAGGAGTCTAAATGTGGCTGCTTCTTTCCAGCATACCTCTTTTCCACGTGGCAGTAAAAAATTTATTCATTTTATCCCGGTCGACCAACTTTGCAGATCCTACCTATTGGATCTACTGTTTATTTTTTTTCGTAATTACTGTGCATTAACTATTTGCATCTAGACCGCAATCAAACAGCAATCCCTTAAATCATCAAATAGTCTATACAGGCAACAGTAGTATACCGCTGTTCTGTGTGTTACCATTTACTTGTTGGCAAATGTTTTGCGCTCAAGATCTTACTTCAAATTTCATTGGTTACAAATATTTGAATGTACATTGAAGTCAAAACGGGTATTGGCAGATTTATGTGAGACTACATATTCCAATGATCATGATAGAATTCGATGATCAGACGTCTAAGTACAGTGTGAAGTTTGTTACCGTGACATTTTGAAATGAAACGCTGAAGTGCATGTGTGGTCAATTCTAATAGGTGGATGGTTACCTTTAAATAAACTCGGGATTATACTTTATGATTCATGTCCTTTTAATTTGATTTTGCCATTTGATAAGGGACTTTCCGTTTTGAATTTTCCTTGGAGTTCGGTATTTTTGTTATTCTACCTTTTAACTTAATTAAACACTTTAAGGGGAAGGTTTAAGCATCCGTTTCTCTACGAATTTCCAAATATAGGCGTCTGTAGTTACGTTGATATCATTTTAAAGTCCCTCTTAATGATGATGTCATAGAAAGAACTTGGTAAACCTGCAAGACATTAGAATTGTCATTTACTGCAATGTTAAAAATCATCAAAATTATAAAAGTTACATAATTTGACGCAATGGATAGAAAAAAATGTATTATTTAGCCAAAACAAAAGCACTGGCTACTTGGCGGATATTACCTTGGTGACTGATAGTCCACCAGCAGCAGTACCGACATGAAGGTATAAGAACATGAAACATATGGTTTCCGTGATCAGGACCATTGTTTCTTAAATAATGGTCATCGGATACATTCAAGTCTGACACAGTAGTTAGATTCACCGTTAGAAAGAATAGAATTAAAAACATCCTTGTGCAAAAGTATGTAAAATGCTGGAGTAGTCAGTAACCCTAGAAATACATGCAATCTGAGAACGATATAATAATAAAATAAACGATAAAAAAAATGGATAACTGATGTGAATAATTCATGAATATGGTTCGAAATGATTCGTTAATTATATACAGTCGAATTTATGTGCATTTAATTGATTATTAATCATTTCGATTAAGCTAACGTATCCATTCTGATGAATAATTTAACAAAAATGTATTACTGGATTACATTTTATGTAGACGGCATAAACATTTTAGAATCAAACAAACTCGCATTGCTATCGTAGTTACGTCCAAGGTGTCAAGGCATATACTGTGACCTAAAGTGCAAGGATGGATGGGGGTGGGGCATACCAGATGATCAGTAGATTCTGTAAAATCCGATTAGTTACTGATTACAGGGGACAAATTCCCACCTGTCCCTACATCTTATTCAATGATTGTGGTGACTAAAATATGCTCGCTGCTCCAATTTAAAATTACCAGAAAGGTTTTTGCATCGGCAAGTGAAAAAATGTGAAAATAATATACAGGTCCGTGTACTCTTTGTTTCCGTACCGCAGCCCTATATTGTTCATGATAATAGCTTTATTCATAAAAATCTTCATTTGCCAGAAATTAGGGCATGTTCTTTTAAAGAATTAAAAAACACCTTTTATTGAATGTTGTTAAGCATATCATTGTTTCATTAACACAATAATATTTGTGAACAGGTCATTGTCACAGTAGTTTTTTTGCTTAGTTTAATCTAAAACAAAAAAGTACATTACAATGTATGACATCTAAAAAAAAACTCTTCAAAACAATTCTTTTAGCAAAACAAGAAAAATCTTTGATTTATTGTTGGTTGCTTAACGTCCAGTGGAAAATATTTTATGTATGTTCAGGACGAGGACAAATTAACAATAAATACAATAGGTTGGTCTTGTAATTGAGGTCGTCCGGGATAAGTTCGACTGCCACTGGAAAATGAGGGAATATTGGATAGGGACAGAATTTTGGCCTTGCAACAGGCCACCTACGGACCCGTCAAAGAGTTACTGCAAGGATTCTTAAAGATCAAAGAGCGTGGCACTCTCTTTACACGATCATCGGATTTAACGTCCCCATTCTGACCGGACGTGGCTGCATACTTATACATCCCGCACAGCCAAACGTACGCCCCACTTTGGCGAGGGTTTTACTGCCGGTCGGAGGAAGACCAATGGTGACCATATTTTCCCCGGTATTCTTGGGAAAATCTTTAAATTTTGACTACTTTCTTTAAATTGTTATTTAAGAAAATCAAATATCCTTTATGTGAAGAATAATTAAAACTTTTTCTTAAATAGTAAACATTCAACATTAGTAAAACCCCCGTTAAGTACATAGTTTTATTTTAATGTAATAATAACAGTACACCTGTCACACAGTTCTATGTGAAAATATCTTTTATCTAAACGTAGTTAAACTACCTACTCAAGAGGCGGCGTGAATCAGATGTGGATACTAAATAAAATCCAAAGATTGGTTAGAGTACATACAACCTAAGTCTCTTTCCTCTTGCAATAATATTAAAACATTTGACTTTTCTATTTTACTGGACTTCTGAGGAAGAATGAAAAACAGCTTGTATTATCCTTTAACTTTACATTCCGATATATAGATGATGTCCTCTCA